AATACATAAATAAGGGGGGAAAAATATCTAAGCTATTAATAGTTTTCCCCTAAACTAGCTCCTCTTTCAATATTTGTGATATCAGTAGGTAGTTACTACATTATTCCAGGTGATCAGAACAAAAACCTGGAGTAATTGTTGACCTTTTCCTTTCTCTCACACCTCACCTTTAATCTATTAAATTCTATCTTCTCTAAGTTTCAAAGTATATCTAGAATATTACAATTTCTCACCATCCCCTCTGCTGGCATAAACACACCTAGATTATTACAATGGCCTCCAATTTGATCATATTTCTTCTTTTGACCCTTTCAGTCTACATTTTAGTAGGTAATCCCAAGTTATCTTCTACTTGACATCACTTTCCAGTCAGTGCAACTGTTTCCTAAAGTCTTTTCAATACCTAAGAACCTTGCCTTATTGGTCCCATTTGCCCCTTTGACTTTGTTTCCACCAAATTCACTATTTTTCAACCATGCTGGTTTATCCAAAAATTTTCAAACTTGCCAGGAATACTCATAAATCAGGGCCTTTGCAGATGAGTTCTTCCCGAACTATCTACAGTACAAGGTTTATTTCCTTTAAGTTTTTACTCTTTTGCTCATGGAGACATTTCCTGGCCACACTATCTAACAGTGACCACCCCATCCCTGCTAATACTTCCTATCCTCTTTCTCCAGATTTCTCCTTAGCATGCATCATAATCAAACCAAGAATGTCTTACTTATCATGGGTCTATCTCTTTCAGCCAGTTGAAGTATAAGCCCCATGAAAGCAGAGATTTCTCTTTTGTTTATGGCTTTCTCCTAGATGCTTAGAATAATTCCTGGCACATACTCAAGAATTATTCACTGATTATATCTTAACTACATTTCCAACTTCAACAACTGTCCAAATATTTCATTCATAGCATATATTAACAAGTTCAAGTACATCGAAGATTTGGGAAATCTTTTCACAGATGGCTCAAATTTCAACTGTATCTTCAGGAACACTTGGGCATTTGCAAGGCAGGTAATGTGATAGAAGCACATTCCCAGTCAGAAGAATCATGGGACATTTCATGGTGCCCTGGAAAGATTGTGAATGAGGAATACAACATGTCAAGAAATGAGGCCAGAAAAATCTCCTGGGAAGATTTTGAATGACCTTGAATTCTATGTTAAATATCTTGAACATTACCCTCGACAGTATAAAAAAAACATAGAAATGTTTTGATTCAGTAAAATTACTTGTTACATTGATTATAGAAAGAAAATATTTGTGGAATTTATGGAAAATCCATTTTGGAGATAACTGATGAGAGGTTACAAGATCTATTAGAAACTGTAGTTATCTAAACAGTGGAAGATAAATTGGCACAGAAACAATAGATTGAAGAGGTTAGGAGGAATAAGTCACAAGTATGAAGACTTCCAAAAAGTTTGGTGGTGAGTGAAAGGAAAAAAATGGGTGCGGTGTCCAGTTAGTGACAGAATGATGAAATAGTATCTGTAGAATGAAGGCGAATTCAGGATATTGTAAGCTAAGCAAAGGAGCAAGTACAAATGAAGCAAATAAAACTGTAAGAGGAAAAAGGGATAAACATATAGGTAAGTGCTTAGAGGATGAGAGAGGAGCAGGTGGACCCACATCTCATAGAGAAGCTACTCATAAAACAGTTACTGGAGAGCCACAGAAATGAACAAGCATGGTTGTCTGATTTTCACACTCTCAAAAGTTAAAAGCAATGGAAAAATGTGGCTTCCAAAGGCAAGTAGTCCTGATTGTAAAGGGAAATTAAAGTGTTTACTAAGTATCCACCAAGTGTCAGGCCAACTTAAACAGCAAATATGTAAAGATGAAAAGCCAGATTTCTTCTGCTCCAGAGGACAAAGTGATTTAAATAATTCCATAAAAACAAGATGATTGCTAAGCAGAAGCAAAGGAGACATAGAAATCAGAAACAGATTTAAAAAGGGCAGTTTCATGAAACATAATCCTATGGGGGAAACAGCTTTAAGCTCTTAAATACCATGTGTAATTGGTTTTCTTTAGTTTTAAGAATGCCGTCACACTGTAGTAAATTTCACAAAGATTTCTATGGAAACTTAGGAATTTTAATAACTTGATGCCTAAACATTAATGCTTTGGTTAACCAGAATATGTGGTTTTCCAAAATGATTCATTTTTCAATAATTACATGCATCTAGAAACTAACATTCTCTCCAAAGATCTCAAATTGGCAGCACTTGAGCAAAATCTAACTGTGCATGGGTTCTGTCTTCAGACACAATATTTTAAAATAGTTTTAACGTATTGACAATCAATATACAAAAATGTTCTGAATAAATAAGACACTTAGACTAGCCTAAAAAGTGGAAGATTTGGCAACAATGGAGCATATATATTACATGTCAAAATTGACTGGAGCTGAGTATTTCCAGGCTTGCACTTTCAGGAAGACCACATTACAGTCCCTGTGATGCATTCTTTTTCTTAAACCTAGGCCTACTTCAGGCAATTACGTTACCTGCCTGGTTATTATAGCCATTTCATTCTGTGATTTCTGAAAAAGTAGGTGCCATGTAGATACCAATTCACTTTACATAAATTATTTCTAATCATTACAATTTTATAAATTGGATTCAATATGAATATTATTATTTTAAACATTCAGAAAATACTGAGAAAAGTTAAGAAAGTAAATTCTTATGAAAGTTACTGCTAACTAGTTGGAGAGCTGAGTTTTTCAGTATATCACATAGACTTGCATATGGCTAACCATATTTTTAGTGTTGGCAAATGATAAGCAACGAATATGAAAAATGTATTTTTTCACATATTAATGAAATTTTAGTTGAAATATCCAAAATGTCATTTGAGACATTTATTTAAAATGTTTTAGATTAGAAGAGGCACTGAGGTACTTCTAGAAAAGCAAACAAACAAAAAGTTTATCCTGAATGACCCAACTAGTACATGGAAGAGGTGAGCTACACAAACATGAAATATAGATAATCACTATACATTATAAACTCCTCCTTACCTGTTATCATGTTCTAAATCAACCTGAGCGGAAGCACTCCTTGGACTATATGGTACAAAAATTGGATGGAAAAACAATTCTAATCTTCATGACTTCTTAGAATTTGAATTCTGTTTAGGAATTTCAAACCACAGAATTACCATGTTATGGAGGAACAAGGTTTAAATAGCACTGTGATAACCCATCATAGATCTCCCACTCTCTGGACTACTTGTCTTCCTTTTAGGAAACAAGGTAATATTTTCATTTATCTTTTTATTATTCTATATAACTTGTAATATTGTAAAACCTAATAACATTGTTCTAAAAAGTATTTTTAAAGAAACCAATGTCAGTGTACCTTAAGATTCTTTGAGAAATTGGTAACTAACATAGCTACTGATTTATCTCCTTTTCAGTGCTTCTGAATATAATCAACATATAGACACTGGAAACTATTATAGTGCTCTATCTTATGATGAAATGCCACAATCTTATTTTAAGGATGAGCTCATCATAATGAGGTTTTTGGAAATCCAGGGTACTGTGTATTTGATGTATGACCTCCTGAATCATTTTCTTCATCTGTTAATAAGACTCATGTACCTAACAAAATTGTTCCAGAGACTAGAGAAAGAATTTACAACATACCTAACACAATGTCTGTCAATAGCAGTTGCTTAGTAACTACAACTATTTCTATGGTTCTCATTTATCAACATGCTAAAAGCATTTCTTTAACTTTTAGTTAACGTTTGCCCATGTTCCAATTTCTTTCATCCATGGAAAATAAAATCTTAAGTAAAATTGAGGTAAATGGCTATATATAATAAATTTATTTCAAAATTTTAAATTATAAAATTTAATATATATCTAATCTTATTTTAAAATGTACTCATTATGAAATGCTTCTAAAGTGAGTGTCATATGCCTCACCCTGTAAGAGTAAACAAACATATCTGAGATTCTTTAGTAGGAATGAGAAATTAATAACAAAATCAGGCAATGCAAATCTTAAGATAGAGAATAATTCCTGTGCATACACATTCTCTAGATGTGCATAGGTAGAGATCACCAGTAAATTTAACAGTTTGAGTCAAATAAAATCTTGCCCTTTAAGAATAATTAATTTCATATTTATAGATCTACAGAGTAAAACACTGTTATATGTCAAAAAGCATTAGAATAACTTTACTTCACTTTTCAGTTCTCTGTTTATCCACTGGAAAAGTTGAACTGATATGTGGTCAGCAAACCTGGGGGACTTATATGTAGTCACAGTATTAGAGATGGAGCTGGAGGGGGTCTTATTAATCAAATATTTTTAGTTAAACCTCTCTTTGGCTAGATATTCAAAGTGAGGTTCAGCGATGTTCAGTGACTTGCTCAAGGTTCAGCAGCCTGTCCCAGGCTGATCTGGGATCAGCAGGCCTCCTTGTACCCATCACAGTGTTATTTCTACCTGCTAATTCTTCCCCTTATGAGGGAGCCAGGCTCTTTTTGCCTCACCTGAAATCTGATTTCAAAATGATTTTGCATTTCTGATAGTGATTCTCTACAATATTAAAGAAGAATTGTAAATAATATGGCCTTATTAGTATAAGCATAACTTATTATTTTCACCACTGTATCTTCATGTCTAGAATGGTATCTGAAACAGGGTAGCAAGTATTCATTGAATAAATTAATAAATAAATTAACCATTTATACATAGGGTCAATTATTCTACTAACTTGCTAAGCCCCAAAAGAACTTCCACAATTTAGAAACTAAGATTTTTCATTATGTTGTGTTAATTTTTCCTTATAAAAAACTCATCATATTCATATCCATGTGTTTTTCGGTGAATCTGCTTTTATCAGTCTTCATTTCCCTTTCCTAATTAACTGGTACAAAGATAAATAACACATAATTAACAAGGAAATATGTGATTTTAAGGAGAGTAAAACTATTATTGATTAGCTCCCTATCTATTTCACAGGACCAAGTAAACATGAAGTTCTTCCTTTTTACCTGCCTTTTGGCTGTTGCTCTTGCAAAGCATGTAAGTATAATAAGATATTTATGAGTATCTATTACCTGAATATAAGGATAGTGAATCTTTTATGCAGACAATGGCAGGGGTAGGCAGCAAGGAAGTGTGACCTTTAAAACCTATAATCAAAGATGACGTTGGCCTCACCTTACACAAGATATCAAGGTGGACAAAAATACTTTTTATAAAGTGTTCTCCTTGTAGGGTTGGAAAGATTTTAGTCTTAGGTTAAAAGGCACACACTTTCTTCCATATCTGTTTGAATTTACTGGGGAACTATTTTCACTCCAAGAACCACTTCCTAAAAGTTAGAAACATATTAAACCATAACACGGACATCATTCAAAGTTCAGGAGAGTGACAGGTAAAATGTAGATTCCCAAACCATCTCTCAAGCACATGTCAGAATTCCGTCATTCTTGACTATAGTACCTCAGCAGATATGATGCTTAGACAGGAAACAAGCATGTGTTGAAGAGTGCTAACTTTGAAAATTACTTGCCAAATAACCTAACGCAAAGTCATCCCTTAACTTCTCAAAGCATTGTATTCTTCTAGTAAGAATGTAATAATAATATTCATATCACACGATGATAAAGAAGGACTAGATTCTTCATGTGAAGTGCTTCGAAGACACAGGCACACAATCTATTAACTTCCTCAGGAGTAACTCAGTTTTTCCCTTACCCTGCAGCCTGTGTTGCCAATCCCTCTCCCATACCCAGTGTCTCACTCCCTACAAATGCACTATATCATCAGGGTAACCAGAGTTCTTTGCCTCCTTTGCATTTCCATATCTCACATATCAATCTTGAAAAGTTTTTGTTATTAAGTTTAGAGCCAATCCAAGAGCATAGCCAGAGTAAGAATTCTAGTTAGGCAAACAGAAAAATATAGTAATAATGCTTCAGTGATCAATCTTACACCAAGATTCATTGTTTCTTTCTTCTGTTTATAATCTCCTAGTCTTAACTACTCTTCTCCCTTTCTCTCTAAATCAGTAATTGTCAGTATTTCCCTTAAGATTAATTAAATCTAGCAATTAACATAAATGAAATAAAACAAAATGTGATGGTATTATAATATTTTAAGATTCTGTAGCACATCTGCACATACATCATATTATATTTTAAACTGTGACAGGATTAATATCAAATACTGAAAAGCTAAGAACCCAACACTTCCTAAAAGCAATAAATACATTAAGCTATAAAAAGGATTCATTTGAAGTACAGAATGATTTGCTTATTAATATTAGAGCATATAATATTACAATAATCATGAAAAAAATCAACTAAACACTACACATTTCCAGAAACAAATTTCTAAAAGTCTCTTGCCATCAAAACAAGAACAATAAAAACAAAACAAAACAAAAATAGTGAGATAGGTTGGCATTTAAAATCTACCATAAAACTGAAACTTGTATTTGTTTTTGTTTCTTTTATAGGAGATGGAACATGTCTCCTCCAGTGAGGTAAGACACTTTGGTGTCAACATAAAATCCTTTCACTTAGTAAAAACATAATATGCCTTAAACTCTTGTCCTTAAAATAGTTTTTCACCAGTGAGTCTAGAACTACAGTCAGAGACAATTAGAAGTGAAGCCATAAAAAAAAAGTAGATATGGAGGAGTAAAGACCAAGAAATCTACACATTCAAATCACCAAGATTAGATTTGTGCATTTTTTCTGAAGACCTCTCAATATTAATGATGTTTGTTCACAAGTCGTGATGAACATTTTGTGAGTACAATGACAGGAATCCATTCTATGTTTCTGCAATGAGGACTCAAGCTTTTCTGGAACTATGTTAAATGCTACTTTCCAAATGACTTCCTGGCCATAACAGATGCCCACAGACAACTTCAAGGTCACCTAAGCATTTTCTTGTTTTCTTGTGATGTATTTAATCTTTTTTAAAAAGACAAAACATGATAACAATAAAAAAAAGAACATTGGAAATTGTACAGAGGAAGTATTTTCTTTCTTCTCTGTGGATGATATTTGGGAGAGCTTTTGATTCAGTTATTCATAAACCAAAGCACAATGTGAAATTAGTTAGTTATCTGAAATATAATAATTATGTAGAGGAAGTGAAACTTTGGCTAACTTTTTTGTGTAATTCAGGTAAAAACTAATATGTTATCTACCCAATGGATAATGGTTGTAGATTGATATTGTATTAAGCTAGAATGAATTTAATTTAGGTAAATAAGTAATATTGTCTTTCTCTTTCTAAGGAATCTATCAACATGTCCCAGGAAGTAAGTCCTAAATTCTTAAATTAAATATATTTTAACTTTCTTTTTTTAATCAAAGTTATAAAATAAATTTATTTAGTTCGTAGAAATATAAGCAGGGAAAGAATGTAGTCCTTCATCCCAGCAAGGTACATCCTGATTACTTTAGTTTGTTAATCTTCGATTGATGAGACTGCTTTTCCTATCAAACATGGGTCACTTTCTCATTCAGCCAAAAAGATTATTATTTTTAATTATGATTGTGAAAATGGTGATGTTTTCATTGTTTCGCCAAAATGCTATGGACTAACATGAAAAGAATTCCAGGAAAAGACTTGTGAGCCATTTTTGAGCCACAATTTTAAAGCAGAATATCTTAGAAAGAATTTCTTGTTAAAAGTTCATCACCTTTACTTTTCTTCCTTAATTCTGTACCCTTTTGTAAAAAAAATTATATTTTCTTTGCTATCACTTTATGCTCAAGAATATTACCCTGGATTTCAGTAACTGCTATATCTTTTTGGTTTTGTTTTCTTTTAGGAGAACATTTGTTCCACATCCTGTGAGGTATATATTGATTTCACATCAGTAGTACAATGTGAAGTAAAATATAATATTAGAACCACATTGAAATTAACCTGGATTTGGAAAATATATTTCAAGTCAATCAAATTTGAAAACCAAGATTATCTTTAAAGAATGAGACCAAAAGTATACCATCTTCTCTTAATTCTATGACTAATTCAAATGAAGAAAATATATCTTCCCATGAATCAACTAATACATTTCATTCCCAGATTCTATGAGGAATGAAGAACTTGTCTTTTAATGGTTTTCATTCTTGAAGTCTCAAACTTATTTTCTTCTTTTTAAAATTATTTTTCTATTGCAATATTTTCTTAAAATTGACAATCAATTTGTTTATCACAGAAACAATATATATTTACTTCCAAAGGCATGTTAGTTGGGTTAATGATTTATTTTTCCTAATACATAATAAAATAAGTAAGGACTATTACAATGAGAAAGAAAAGCTTATCCATGACTTGCCTAAAATTATCTTGTGCATCCATTCACTCCCTTGACAAAGCACTTATTCAACAAGAACTATGTCCCCAACACTACCTTAGCCTCTAGGAGTACAATAATAAATATGATAATCTCTGGAGATACAACAATAAATGCAATAAACAATGATAAATACCACTGGTTGTATGTTTATCACCAAATAGAAAATTCTACTATAATTCATACAAAACTCTTACAATGTACATTGGTGCTCTTTGACAGACATATCTGGTATCTGACTCCAGAGGAAAGTACATTTTAAATCAAGCCAGTGTCAAATCAAGAACCTACCATTCACCTTCAGTGTAGTTTTAGCCTGAAAAACCTCTCAATATTGCTTAGGGCAGTGTTTCTCAAAGCGGTACCTTTCAAGTAGCAGCATCAGCATCACCTGGGCATGCTTATGCACTTTAAAATTTGAGAACCTCTTGTTTAAGCGGGGGTGAAAGAGGGAATGGTCACTAGTATAATAAAGGCATGCTGTGGTAGAAATATCCAAGCAATGAGCACAGTGGGAAAAAGTGTCTGGAAAGGAAGAAGCATAGCCATGGCCCGGAGCCTTGTGTCCTGAGGCATAGCCTGAAGACTTCCTACTTAGTGTCTAGGAAGTCTGCTTTACGGTTTCTCTAAGCTTCAGGTCTGTCTCAAACGGAGAGCCAATGGCAGCCTCTCATAAATAACAATTGTGTCCTGTAGAAAGGGTTTGCAGGATTTAGTTTGTCACACACCTCACTAGTCCTACTTTGTAATATTTTTGTCACCTGTCTACACTCCCTAGGCATCTGATATTGTATGAATAACATAGAATTGATGAAAGCTTTAAAATGAAACATATTTTCAGTCACATGTTATTAATTTTACATAGAGTGTGGGCTCTCAGTAATTTATTTAATCTGTAATAAATAACATAATTTCTCAGTAATAGTAGCTTGGGCCATAAATATATTTAATTAACTGTCCCTTCTACTCTAGTACAACTTTAAGGCTAAATCGTGCAGGTTAAGTTAATTCTTCTTTTCTTCCCCTAAGGAACCTGCTGAAGTTCCCAGGGAGGTAAGTAATTTTCATTCAAATAAAATGGAATTCATATCACCCAGCCCTGTTTTCTTTTTGTGTATTTTTATAGCAAGTGCTTTTGTTTTCTTAACAGAAAGTTAAGGTTACTGTGGAAGATAAGCAATACCTGAAACAACTGGTAAATTTCTTGTACAAATTATAATTTCAAGTAAACCATGATAGTATTGCTGTTTCTTCTCCCAAATGTTCACACAACTCATTCCATCCCAATGAGTTATTTACCCCCAATTTATAGTAAGTAATATATTTTTTGTTACTTTAATTTCCAGCTATTATCTTATCAAACTTGTGGATTTATAGTTTAATAAAAATGAGTGTTGAGCAATTATCCAACTGATTTTGAAGGAATTACGAACTTTAGAAAATGTATTTCAAGTTTAAATGGTGTGAGTGAGATACCAGTGTAGTTGAGGTGTCACATTTTTGTCCACTCAACTTCTCTTTAACAACAGTGTCATAGAAAGATATCGCAAGTGTAAAGGTTTCCAAGCCATATATAGGAGGTCATGTAACCCATCCTCTGCGGATTAGAGAAGCTTGCTGTGTGTACAAGGAAAGAGCACCTGCTTTGGAGTTAGCAACTTGTATTCCAACCACAACTTCACAAATCATTACTTAACCTCTCCAAGCTACAGTTTCCTCAACTAAAAATGAAGATAGTTATATTGACCCTGAGGAATTACATTAGATGATATGTATTTCAATTATGCAAAAAATTGCTTGGAGCACAGTAGTTAGGTGCATCTAAAAAGAAGGTAACAATTATTATTATCATATCCCTACACAGAGCAGACATACCTGCTAAAACCTTTAGAACAGAAGCAGTCTTTCATTGAATACTTAAAAATTGGGACTCCCCAGATAAGACCTCTCTTTTTAGGAAATTCTGCCTGCCAGAAAGGCCATTCTTAACTTTGTCAAAATGCTCCTAGTAGCATTTTCCTTTTGTACCACTCTTTTAAGGTAATTCTGAATTCATCCAATAATTATTCCCAGGCAATTCTAAAGACCAGTTGACATTCTACATGCCCATTTATTTTCAAATCTCTATGAAATTAAAATTCTCCTGAGTGAAGATGCCACTGTGGCTTTATATTTAGTCTCTAAAAAAATCATCAGAGTCAGATCAAAGGCTCTGGAATTTACTAGAATATTTATTGAGCCTGATAGATAGATAGATAGAAGATAGATAGATAGAAAGATAGACATAGCAGGCACTATGAAAACTGTTATATATTTTAACAAATATAATCCTACATGGTAAATAATGCTCAGATAAATTAAGCAATATGAACAGGGTCATGGATTCCAATACCCAGGATTAAGGGAATTAAAGTTCAGTTCTATCTGACTCCAAAGACCAGACTTCTTACATACATGGAAAAGAAAATGACAGACACTTACCTTCTAATTCAAGAAATGTTCCTTTCCTTTCTTATACATACCTTTGGTTTTTCCACATAGATATTGTTCTGGAGGCCTTAATAATCAGACAATTTCTTTAATTTTGCAATTTGTTATAAATGTAGGAACAGTTACAATAAATGTTATGTTACTAAACTATTCTTGTTAGGTAAATTTGCCACCATTTATAAATTATCTAATTCAATAAAGTTCTAAGTAACTTGGTTCTTCCAAAATCTGCTTTTGACACAAGGAGGAAATTCAGCATTAGAGTAAATATTGATAATTTTCTTTCTCTCTAGAGCAAAATAAGTCAGTTTTATCAGAAGTTCCCCCAGTATACCCAGGCTCTATATCAAGGTCCAACTCTTATGTACCCATGGGTTCAAGTTAAGAGAAGTGCTGAGCCCTTTATTCCCACTGTGGTGAGTGCTGCTTTTTTATTTGTTGTTTGCTTGTTTGTTTTTCTTTTTCTTTTTGGTGAGGGATGAGTTCAGGATAAATATATGTAAAATAGCTAGAGACAAAATGTCCCAACGAGTTGTAACTGAGAAAGCAGAACAAATGCAAATAAAATCTTGTAGTCCAGAAATTAAATAGCAAACAAAAAATAGCCCAAATGTAGTAACAAATAACAATAGTAACCATAGTGACAAATAAGAAATTTAATTTGAATTGTTCTAAGTGTATGTTCCTACATCATTTTGCTTGGCTCCTCAAACAAGTCTCTAATATATGAGGGGATAGTAATCATTAATTTCATGTAACAAAAATATTGTTTTGTTAAGAAAATACGAGAAACTGAAGTAACTTGCCCAAGTTCCAAGTACTCTCTACCATTTTGTTTCATAAAACAGTCTGTCTTAAGGAACTTTTTCTCATATGAGGAATAAATAACAAAAGTTTTCCTGACCCTATTTTTGGTTACAAAGCAGACAGCAGCTCTCTACCAGTGAGGTAAGGCATTTTCCTACAAAGTCAATACCCTGGTAACTAGCAAGATATTATACACTTATTATACACTGTACTAGACAGTCTTTGATGTAGTTTTTAAGCAATAAATCTAGATTTATATAATATAGGAAAATCGGATCTTCAGGTCTCAAAGAAAAATCTGGGGAAGTCAGAACAAAAATGTACACATCCAAGGATACAAAGATTAGATCTGTGCTAGTAGACCTTGCCAAAAATGTTAACACTACTTCTTTTTTAAAGGTCACCATTAATATTGCTATCACACCAGAAGACATGGTGTAGATATTACATTTTATAAACAGAGTGGGAGGAATCCAATGTATCATTCTGAAATAAGAACTCTAATTCATCCAGATCCATACAAAGTGCTGTTATCCAAACGTCTTCCAGCATATCACACATGATTAAATATATTTTCACGTTACACAAGAAATTGCCTAGTTTTTTTTTTTTTCTTTTTTTTTTTTTGTGGTACACGGGCCTCTCACTGTTGTGGCCTCTCCCGTTGCGGAGCACAGGCCCCGGACACGCAGGCTCAGCGGCCATGGCTCACGGGCCCAGCTGCTCCGCGGCATGTGGGATCTTCCCGGACCGGGGCACGAACCCGTGTCCCCTGCATCGGCAGGCGGACTCTCAACCACTGCGCCTCCAGGGAAGCCCAAGAAATTGCCTAGTTTTATTCCTACTTAATAATGAATGAAAAAGTTCAGAAAAGAGAAATAATTTTACGAGTAAGATTAAATGCATCATTTCAAATTTTTTTAAGGAATCTGTCAGCTCCTCTCAGGAAGTAAGTCAAAACCACTTATATTAAATATAGTTAAGAAATTACTTTTTAGTTTGTTATGGTTATAAAGTAAATATTACTTATTTTGCATAAATATAAGCGGGAAACAATGTGGCTATGCATCCAGTCAGATAAAATGTATTTATATATTTATTGGTTCATTGATGAGATATGTCATTCATCACTCACTTAAGAAATATGTATTTAGCAAGTATTATGTCCTTACATGATCTTAGATCTTTGGGATACAACAGCGATTGAAAACACAATAAAAATAAAATTAATTATTCTTCTTTATAAAAGAGGGGTTTTCTGCATATATTCAAGATGAAATTATGTATAACCAATACAGTGAGAATAAAATGTCTAATTCTTTTTTAAATTTTTTTAAGGAAAATTCAAAGAAGACTGTTGATATGGTAAGGTATTATTTCTATATGAAGCTCTATTTAATTCATATTTTCAAAAACTAATATGAATAGTTAGGTCTATCTGAAATGTTCTGCTTTTAATAAAATAGAGTTATATTTGTAAGTTACTTAAAAATATAATTTCTCTCCACCTTTTAATGTGTTTCTCTCAATTGCCCTGAATTCTTTCAATTAATCCTTCCATGTAAGCCAGACTTTCCACATAAGTTTTATATGGTTCCACTGCCTCTTTCTTTTTTTTAATCAAACTTTACTATTTTTTGAACTGGAAATTTTACTTTTTCTTTTTTACCTTTCATACTAATATCCTTTTTGTAACATGAGAAATATCTTTAATTCCACAAATATCAAAAATATACTGCTAAGGATTCAATCATCCTGGTCCCCAGATTTTGATTACTTTTTTTATTTCTCAAGGAATCTTCTAGTAGCTCATATAGTGAGGAGAATGGTACTTTTAATATAAAACAATTAGTTTATTAAGAAATACTGTATTTTCTGTTAATTATTTTAAGTAAATTAGGTATTGATAATTTTTTAACAGAGCCACGTCAAAATAGCCAGTAGACATAAAGAAAAACATGTGTAAGAAATATACACAGAGTCATTTTAGAGGTCTGAAATGAAGTAGATACATAGCCAAGAGTAGCTGTTTTACCCCATGCTTTTGATAATGTTCAACTGGACTCTGGTTCATTGGTAATAGTAATTTTTAAAATAAGCCAAAGCCAAATCAACATCCTGTCAATTGCCTTCACCATAGTTCTACCCTGAGTCTCTCTCGCTGTTTAAAGTGTTGAATACTGGATTGGGTTATGAGTTGTGTAAATCACAGGTTCAAGAACACTTGCTGTGTTACAATGAGCCAAATGTGTAAGCACAATGGGAAAACTTCCTGGGAGAGGAAGTTTTGGAGAGCATGGATTGTGGCCCACAGTCTTGTGACCTGAGGCACAGCCTAACATCTTCATCTTTACTGAAGGAGGAAGCATTCTTTACCCTTTCTCTCAAATTGGGGGTACCCAGGCACTAAAAGAAAGAAAACAATGATCTTCCCAGAAAGGGCATGCAGGCTCTGCCACATACCTCAACAGCCTGATTAGTTTTAGTTTTTCTCCTTTCTCTCTCTCTCTCTCTCCCCACCTTTGCATCTGCATATACTCCATGAGAATTTGACATTATATGAACAATATAGGTAAATGGAAAATTCAAAACATATTTTCAGTCAAATATCATATGGACACAGAGAATGCTCTGATAATGAATATTTAAACTCATTAAATCCATAATACATTCCTATAAAGTAGTACTTTGTTTTTTGGTAACAGTGGTTTTGCCTTGAATTATTAAAATAATTAGCTCTAGTTCTCTACTATAATGATATAGACAAAATTACTCGTGAGCTATCTAAGTAAAGCTGATCCTCATTTTCTTTCCCTAAGGAATCAACCGAAGTACTCACTAAGGTAAGTAATTTCCGTTCAAACAAAACTAATTACATATTATCCCATATTTTCTTTTGTATTTATCACAGTTTATTTTTATTATTAATAGAAAACTACATTGACTGAAGAAGGAAAGAATCGCCTAAAATTTCTGGTAAATTTTCCTTGCAAGCCTTTGTAGCACAACCAGTCTCAGCTTGGACACTGAACTGCGATCCTCTCAAAAAATAAAAACAAAAAAATGCTATTTTTAATACAGTCTAATTTCTATAAAAGTCTTCCCTATACTTTGTCAAAACTATTACAAAAACATTCTCCCATTGTACTAATTGGACCATTGCCATGTATCCACCCAACCATTATTCCCCAGTTATTCTAAAAACCCATTGATTTTTCATTTTGCAAAAACAGGAAATTATCCTGAAGGCAGATGTCACTGTGTTTAATTCCAATTTTAATCTCTATAATAATCTATAGTTGGACCCATATAGATGGTTCAAAATACAACACAGAGGAGAGGGATATTTATTAATAGGTGACAGGCACTATACCAAGTGCTCTCTCTATATTAATTCATTTACTTCTACAAGGTAAGTGACACTCAGAGATTAACAACTGACTCAGTGTCACAGATTCTTCTAAGATAAATCACACATTCTATATGACTCTCAGGACAAGGGTGTTTCCACCAGACATGGAAAAGAAGCCACAATCTGAGACACTTATTTAGTAAATTAAGAAATTATCCCCTTGCCTTCTTACACACACCTTTTTTTCTTTTCTTTTTTTTTCTGCTTAAATATTTTGGCATTGGGGTCTGAAATAACCAAAGAATATTCTTAATCCTACAGTTTATTTTATGAATGTAAACATAGAGTTAATTTTATATGAATAACCTCTCCTTTGCTTAAGTCTGTTTGGTATCATTTAGAATTTATCCAAATAAATAAAGCTTTAGTTTATTTGGTTATGTCCAAGAGTGCTCTGACGCATTGGATAATGGAAAAATTATATTTTTTTCTAGGACAAAATCAACCAATATTATCAGAAATTAACCTGGCCCCAGTATCTCAAGACTATTTCTCAGTATCAGAAAACTATGAAGCCATGGAATCACGTTAAGACAAATGTTATCCCCTATCTCGTGAGTTCTCCCTTTTATTTTTAATTTTAAAAACGGAGTTATCTTTTATAGTAAAAATAAGATAGGGAAATTAAATTCCAGCAAGCTCTCAAGTAGAAGCTGAAACAAAATTAAGTAAAAATTCTAGGCTGGAAATTAAATTAAATTAATCGTATAGTACAAATATAGTTACAATAAGCAGAAATAATTATAATGATAAATTTTGTTTACATTGGATTTAAATTTCTTAAGCGTTTGCTTATAATATTTCAGTTTATTCCTACAGCAATTTTTCAAGGTGGGTCAGCATAGAGAATATGACTTCCATTTCACAAAAGTATCTGAAATTCCAAAAAGTAGCCTGACACAGCTCTAATTAACATTTCTCCTTTATTTCATTTTTTAAAAAATGTGACTTAGGAAACTTTTTAAACATTAGGAATAAGGGGGAGAGCAGGAAATTGCACCCAGAGAACTGACAGTTTAACATAAAAATATAGGACTGGAATCAGAAGCCCTGACATAAATAAGCTTTTGACTTTGGTCAAGTCACTTCATTTTTTCAGGATTTTTAAATTATGATTTAATTTATTAGATATACATGTAGCATTTAAAGATATCTGTCCCATAATTAGAGAAAATAAGAATTTGGCATCTGTAGTTTGAATATGAGATGCCAAAATGATGCTCTAAATATTTCCATGGGGTGGTAAATATTCTTTTTGTTTTTTATTATAAGCACATAGCTAAAATATATTATTCCTTTCTCTTTTAAAGAGATACCTTTAAGATTCTTGAATTAACTGCTTCTACTTGATTATGGTAAGTATCTTTAGGCTTATAATTTAAACAATAAATAGGATTTTTGTATGAAGAATGCGTAATGTTAATAGAGTTTCAACTTTAATTAAGTCATACTTGGTTTATGAAATATTTTAAATTTTGCTTACACCTTTTTGATTCACAAATGTAAGTGATCTGTGTATGTGCATGCATTTTATAAATATTTTGAAAATAAATTATAGGAAAGTTTCTCTATAGCTGATAACACATTCAGCCAGAAGCAACAGCTCTGGGTGGAAATTGTCACAAGCTTAATGGTCACAGGGATGTTAACTTATCACCTTTGAGTTCAGACTCAGAATTTCAGTTTGGTGGAAGAGAGTTTTCCTACACAAGCTAGTTTAAAACAAATTCTCTCCATTATTTTCTCTGGAAAAATCACCACTGTTTTAAATACACAAAATCTACTTTTCTTAGTGTCTCTCTTTGACATTTTAACCATTGCTTTAAAGCCATGATGAAGGGCCAAGGAAACGAATAAACATCAGTGTTGCTTTTTTGTGCAGTCACCTTTTCTTTTTCTTACGTTGTCCTTGCAGTATATAGGTCATCTCCAATCTTGGAATTCTGTCTCACTCAAGTTATCTTCTTGTTCCTTTTATATGTCCTGCAATGAGACAAAGTAGGTTTCAGAGAAATGAGTAATAACAGTGGTAGTAATTTATTGAGGCCTTACAATGCTAGTCACAATTCTAAGCCCTTTGCATATATTAAAAAATTTCATATTCACAAAAACCAAGGAGGTGGTTAATATTATCAGCCAATTTGAGATAAGGAAACTGAGGCCCATGGAAGTTAAAAAAACTTGTTCATAATCACCCTGCAAAAGTGGAAGAGCCAAGACTCTAACACAGATTTCCAGCTCTAGGACTCCAACACACCACTACTGATGCCAAACTACACCTAAAGTCCACCTAGGGGATTTTTTGGCTTTAAGTACATTGTCACAAACATGATTTGCTTTGTCATGTCATTTTGGCTCTCCAAATGATGAAAACGGATCAGACAACTTCAAAAAATGATTTTATGTGAGAAGAATAATAACTATTGTGAATAAGAGCTGAAATCACAGCTGTATTTTATAAATAACAATATTTCCATTGTTATAGTTATTTATACATTTGTTTTACACTTTTAAAAAGCTGATCACGTATTCTATACTGTGAGAGACATGAGGGAGACAGAAATAAGGTACCAAACTTATCCTCATTAAGCTCTATTCTAGACAAAGATACAGGAATGGCAATACGAGGTGCCAGATGCTAAATTAGAGGCATGAGAAGTAGCTGGTTGTACAAAAAGTTCGTGATGCATCAGACTTAAGTCATAAACTAAGTCTTTCAGATAATTAGAACTAGACTAAGCAAAGCAATGGCAGAGAAAAAACGAAGTCAAAAGGTATTGAATTGGCAGAAAAAGTACAAAAGAAATAGAGAAACAAAAAAATGCACAATAGATTTTAAAGATTTTAATAATTTTAAGCAATTTCTTAAAGTATCAACCCAAGGTCATTTTGCATAATGATTTTTTTCCCTAAAACCTAGATTTCAATTAGATAAAAGGGGTTTAAATGTAGAAAGCATTTTATGTCTAATAAACTATTTAGAAAATAAGAATAAATTTTCCTTCAAAATTGGCTAAAAATGTAAATATTTACCACTTATTGAATAAATATAAATATTACTTTTATATGCAGGATTGAAGAACCTTGCAATCAATTTTCACTCATTCATTAAATTGCTCCACAAATAGTTATTAAAACCTTACTATGGGGCTTCCCTGGTGGCTCAGTGGTTGACAGTCCACCTGCCGATGCAGGGGACATGGGTTCATGCTCTGGTCCGGGAAGAGCCCACATGTCGCGGAGCGGCTGGGCCCATGATCCATGGCCACTGAGCCTGGGCGTCCGGAGCCTGTGCTCCGCAACGGGAGAGGCCACAACAGTGAGAGGCCCGCGTACCGCAAAAACAAACAAACAAACACCTACTATGTGCTAGGTATCATGTTGGACACTAAAATATATTAACTAATAATCATTATAAATAACAACATTCTGCTAGAATAGGATGGATGGGTGTGTGTTCTGTATACAAGCATACATTGTTTCTTGAATATAAATCTAATAGATTATATAGTATTATCTTTTTCTTTTTAGGCTTGACTGGAAAATCTATCTTCTACATTTTCTTATCTACCACTTTACTTCATACTACCAACATGTTTGGAGAGGCCCACTAATAAGACAGAAATGTTGAGGGAAAGGAAGACTGTGCAGAATATTTCCTGAATTATTTATATTCTCCCTGTTAGTTCATGTTGAATATACTGGGCTTGTACGGTGGTTTCATAAAACTTAGTTGATGATTATTTAAAATCCTTTCCCTACTCTTTCTGAGTTGCAGAACTACATTTCTTTTCCTCTGAAAATAAAATTTCAAGTGCATTCTTTGGTGTGTAATCATCATTTCCATTGTCCATACTGGTCCACTAGGCTATGGATGATAATATAAACAGTCCTTTAACAATCAGTTTAAACCAGCTTGATTACCACCAAAATAACTGTACATTTTCTGGGTAATGCAATTTTACTTCTCATAATGGATAACCTTGAACACTACAAATTATATTCTCCAAACACAGCTAGGTTTACAGTACTATTCAGCCATTGTTTTACCAATTTCTGATTTATTTGTGCTCATAATCTGTCACAGCATTAATCCCAAATCTTCACCTGATCCCTCAATCCTCCTCTCCCGGGTCACATTGTCACACTAAAGTAGGGAGTCAGGCATTGAGAACATAAACCTTCCAAGGCCCCCCATTAATGGTATCAACAAATGGAGAAACAGGAAAAGCAAATAAGTGGATTCATGCGTGGAATGTAAGGGAAAACTCTAAGGGGGTGACATGTCCCAGAAGACAAAGGGATAGGGAAAGATAAAGGAAAGTTGATTTAGGAGGAAGGGATAAAGATGAAAATTATTTGAGCTTAGAAATTTGTGTTAAGCATCTGCTTATGATGGGAAGATATTGGAGGAGTTTTCACAGGGGAGTGACATTACATGATATGTACCTTTGGTGAAAAGATTTGAAAATTGGAGACTTTTTCTTAGACACAGTAGAATACTCCAATCCTTTAACCCTCTCATTGTATTCCATTCTGTCCAAGCCCTCTTAGGCTCGCTTCTTATTCAAGCTGAACACTGAAGTGTTTTTCAGAAGGAGGTAACATATGCCATATATTTTGAAAGGGTAAGAGGTAGAAGCTAAGATAATTTTTCTTTGCCTTCGTAGAACACTCCATCCCTTTTTTCTTTGTCTTCGTAGAACACTCCATCCCTTAACACTCTTATTACATTCCATTTTCTCTATTTCTTATTCGCTTCACTTCCTTTCTTGCACAGCTCAGAATTCTCCCTTGATTTTTAAAAATATCATCTTGATAACTCATGTAACTCTTTGCACCTCTGTACTTAATCCTATGGGAAAACATCCAACCAGGAACTAAATTTCTATTGCCACTCCATGCAAGGAGCTGAGCACTAAAGTAAGTTTGTTTTTTAACATTGTTGGTCACCAAAGACTACTTATCAAACTTTGTCTTGTTGGCATTAGAGTTAGCAGCCTTCTTCAACACTCCCTGGAAAAAATCTCACTGGAAAAATATTTGCCTTTCTACTTTATTGACAAATATTTTGTCCATCAAGCCTAGACACTATCCACCTCCCTAGTATGACACTTCAATAACTTGATCTAACTCTGAACGTAACTTTAACTGTCTCCTTCAAGTCTCAAGGGATGTGGTGATCTTCCTCTAGTTCAAAGCTAACAGCTTTTTGGTGCTTTTTAAAATTTACTCTGTGGGCTTTCCTGGTGGCGCAGTGGTTGAGAGTCCGCCTGCCGATGCAGGGGACACAGGATCGTGCCCCGGTCCTGGAGGATTCCACATGCCACGGAGCGGCTGGGCCCGTGAGCCATGGCTGGTGAGCCTGTGCGTCTAGAGCCTGCGCGTCCAGAGCCTGTGCTCCGGAATGGGAGAGACCACAACAGCGAGAGGCCCGCGTACTATAAAAAAAAAAAAAAAAATTTCCTCTGTAATCTATCCTTTTCAATGATGTTCAGTGGGGCAAAGTAATAATGATGATTATCATATCTAAAACCATTTGAACAGCTATGTG